GAATGAATAAATAAATAAATAAATAAATAAATAAATAAATAAATAAATAAATAAATAAATAAATAAATAAATAAATAAAGGAGGGACATTCAAAGTCAGCCTTTGGATATTTTGGATTTTTTTTGGATTTTGTTTCCTTACAACCTATGGGGTTTTCCAGTCATAGGTGCTCATATGATGTACATGGTGTGTCCTGTTTGTCCTCCTTATTTACATTTTTTTCTTAAAGATTTATCTATTTATTCATGAGAGACAGACTGAAAGAGAGAGACAGAGACATAGGCAGAGAGAAAAGCAGGCTCCTCACAGGGAGCCTGATGTGGGACTCGATCCTGGATCTGGATCCCGGATCATGACCTGAGCTGAAGGCAGGCACCCAACCACTGAGCCACCCAGGCATCCCATACATTTTTAAAACACTTGTGAAATTATTCAGATGTACCAAGAGTCATAAAGCAGTGCTACTCAATGTGCTGGTCCATGATGAAGTCATGAACTTGTGCTCATATGTAGGTCAGGGCACTGCTGCCCACACCAAGGATGTCCTGCTCAGCTAGAGAGTGAACAGTTGTTGACTGGGATCGGACTTGAGCCCCTTACCTCCTCACGGGCCATTGTCCATTCCCGACCACGCTTACAGCAGTATGGACAATAAAGGGGGCACCATCTCAGTACCCATCTTCAGAAATCAGGTATTACCAATACCCCTTCTGGTAATGTCCCAGTTACATCTCTCCACTCCCTAATTTGGATAAGCATCATTTAAGTGAGCACATGGTAGGGGTGCCTGGGTGGTTCAGTCAGTTAAGCGTCTGCCTTTGGTTCAGGTGGTGATCTTGGGGTCCTGGAATCAAGCCCACATCGGGCTCTCTGCTCAGCAGGAGTCTGCTTCCCTTCCTCCCCTGCCCCCCCCCTTTACTCATGTATGCGTACTCTCTCTCAAATATATACAATCTTTTTAAAAATATTTTTTATTTATTTATTCATAAGAGAGACAGAGGCAGAGACAGAGGCAGAGGAGAAGCAGGCTCCATGCAGGGAGCCTGATGTGGGACTCGATCTCAGGACCGTAGGATCACCACCTGAGCCAAAGGCAGATGGTTACCATTGAGTCACCCAGGTGTCCCAATAAAATCTTTTAAAAATAAATTTTAAAATGAGTACATAGTAACCCACTGAATGATACATTGTAATCTACTTACCTATTCAGTTATGTAAATACATGGCTCTGATCTGATCTGTCAAACTAAACATGTTCTCAGCCCAGGTCAGGCAAATCTTGGGTCTACATAGAAAGTCAGCATTACATTTTTCTGCTAATGATCTCCCCTCTGATTTCAGGAACACTGCCATATCAGGATTAGGAGTAAAAAAACTATTTTCCATTATGATAATGAAGTACTTTATTTCCATAGAGCAATTTACAAATGTTTTGAGGTTTTTCTCCTTCAACCTAATTCTCAAAACACACGCACCCTTTCCAAAGAAACAAAATCTGACTTGATCAGCTTTGGAGTGCCTTTCAAGAGTGTAAACTCTACAGGGGTTACACAGACCGAGTAAGCTACATGGTAACCCCAGGAAACTCACTATTTGGTGGGTGAGAAGAAATGTGTTTATGACACCTGTAAGGACACATGAGCTAGGGAAATGCTTTAAGGGAGCAAAATGGGGGCAGGGGTGGTGGTGGTGCATTTTGAACAGTTTGTGAACAACCCAGACAGACCCTAACAGGCTCTAGATCAACCAGCAGTGTTTTGTCTACCATGGGACATTTGGCAATATTTGAAGATATTTTTGGTTGTCACAGCTAGGGGTCCTAACATCTAGTGGGTAGAAGCCAGGGATGCTGCTATACGTCCTGCAATGCAGAGGACCACTCCCACAGCAGACAATTATCCTGCCCAGGATATCCATATTGCCAACCTTGAGTGTAAGCTCAAGACTTGCTCTAGAGTATCAGGTCTTTGGGGATGGGGAATGTTGTTGTTGTTTGTAAGAACAGTTTGAGGTTCACAGCAAAATTGAGGGGAAGTTACAGACATTTCCCATATGCCCCCTGCCCCTGTACATCCATAGCTTTCTCCATTATCAACAACCCTCACCAAAGTGACACATGTGCTACATTTGGTGGCCTACCCTGACAGGTGGTCATTCGAAATCTATAGTTTACACAAAGGTTCACTCTTAGTATTGTACATTCTGTAGGTTTTGACATGGATAATGACATGTGTCCATCATTATGGTATACAGAGTTATTTTTACTGCCCTAAAAATGCTCTGTGCTCTGCCTTTTCATCTTACCCCTGTCAACCAGTGATATTTTTTATTGTCTTCATAGTTTTGTTTTTTCCAGAATGTCATGTAGTTGGAATCCCACAGAATGTAGCCTTTTCACATTGGCTTCTTTCATTTAGTAATCAAAATTTATGGTTCCTCAATGTCTTTTCATGGCTTAGTGCTCATTTATTTTTAGTGCTGAGTAATGTTCCATTGCCTGGATGGTGGGACAGGTTATCCATTCACCTCCTGAAGGACATCTTAGTTGCTTTCAAATTTTGGCAATTACGAGTAAAGTTACTATAAACATCCATGTCAGGTTTTGTGTGGTCGTAAGTTTTCAGCTCCCTTGGATAAATACTAAGGAGTGTGATTGCTGGCTCATATAAGACTATGTTTAGTTTTGTGAGAAGCTGCCAAACTGTCTTTCAAAGTGGCAGCACCATTTTGCATTCCCACCAGCAATGAAAGAGAGGTCCGATTGGCCCACATCCTTACCAGCATTTGATGTTGTCAGTGTGCCAGATTTTGGCCACTCTAACAGGCATGTAGTGGTATCACATGTTAATTTGCATTTCCCTGATGACCTAGGATATAAAGCATCTTTTCATATGCTTATTTGCCATCTGTATGTCATCTTTGGTGAAGTATCTGTTCAGGTATATTTGGCCCATTCTTTAATGTTTGTTTTCTTGTTGAGTTTAAGAGTTCTTTGCATATATTTTTCTCTTTTTTTAAAATCTCATTGCCCAACATGGGGCTCAAACTCCCAAACCCAAGATCAGGAGTCACATACTCCACTGACTGAGCCAGATAAGCCAATTCTTTGTATATTTTGGATAACAATTCTTTGTCAGACGTGTCTTTTAAATATTTTCTCCCAGTCTGTGGCTTGTCTTCTCATCTTGACATTGTGTTTTGCAGGGAGAGGCTTTTAATTTTAATAGGAGCCCAGCTTATCAATTATTTCTTTCACAGATTATGTCGTTAGTGTAATACCTAAAAAGTTATCACACCCAAGATCATCTAGATTTTCTCCTACATTATCTTCTGGGAGTTTTATAGTTCTGCGTTTTACATTTAGATCTGTGACCCATTTGAATTAATTTTTCTTAAGGATGTAAGGTCTGTGTCTAGATTCATTTTTTTGCATGTAGATGACCAGTTGTTCCAGTACTATTTATTGAAAAGACTTATCTTGCTCCATTGTATTGCCTTTGCTCCTTTGTCAAAGATCTGTTGACTATTTATGTAGGCCTATTTCTGGGTTCTCTATTCCACTGATGTGTTTCTTCTACAAACACCATGTTGCCTTGATTATTGTAGCTTTATGGTAAGTTTTAAGGTCAGGTAGTACCAGCCCTCCAACTTTGTTCTTCCTTAATACTGTGTTGGCTATTCTGGGTCTTCTGTCTCTTCACATAAACAACAGTTTGTTGATATCCATAAAATAACTTGCTGGGATTTTGACTGGGATTGTGTTGAATCTATAAATTGGGAGGAACGGACATCTTGATAATAGAGAGTCTTCTTTTTTTTTTTTTTTTTTTTTTTTTTTTTTTTCAGCAGAGTCTTGTTTTTACTTAAGGAAAAAATATAGAAGGTACACATTGGGAATTGAAATACACTATGCTTTTTCTTTCTAGAGGTATGATATGTCTTTTCTGGTCAGTAATTTCTCTGAAACATTGTGTTACGTCAAAGCCTACAGATGACCAGTGAAGCTGTCTGCTCTCCTACCTCTGTTGAGCTAGCTCAGTGGAACTCCATCTTGGCAGGCAGATTCTGACAGGAGGAGGCAACTACAGAGACCCTACCCCCAACAGAACACCTAACAAAATGATTTATATGGAAAGGGATTTCAGAAACCTGTACAAACACTTAACATGCTGTAAGAAAGGGAGACCTTTTAGCCTACTTCCAGCATAAGCACACACTCGTTGGCGCCCAGTAAACCAGGCATGCCAACAAAGAAAGCCTTTTCGCTTTCATAGCACTAACAGCTAAAAAGCACATAGCATATAATACTTTGATCTTTAAGTGGGTAATCATGGAGGCTCCAAGATTATATCCACTAGGTTAGCCTGAGTATTTACCTATAAAAATATTTTTCTAAAAAATGCTTAAGAGGATTCTAGAAACAGACTACATCAAGGACTAGCAGAAGACAGTGATGCAAGGACTGCGAAGTGAAAGACAAGAAACTGATTTTCACATGGAGCTTCAGGTACAGGACTGAATCCTCAGCTGATTCCTAGAGCCGAGGCTAGCTGGGATGTGGCAGGGAGCTCAGCCAGGTGGCTGGCTTGATTAACAGCCTAGGGAAATGTTCCCCAACAGGAAGAACCCCCTTTGGGGCTGCAGGTCTGATGAAACGATGCATACAGAAGGCTGTGAGCACACAAGAGCCTGATGGACATGCAGAACCTGCTGAGCCAAAGTGGGCCGGAGAGGATGGGTTCTTCCAAATGCTTCTGACCTACCAGCATGTATATCAGGGGAAGACCTACCAGCATGTATATCAGGGGAAGAGGCCCCGGTGTGATGCCCGCCTTGGGCTTGCTCCAGAAGGGCCTGACGCAGAGGCCTGAGGCAGGGGGTCTGCTCGGGGAGGAGTGCTAGGATTACCGAACACGAGAAGGTGCTTCAGGGTCTCTGGAGGGTCAGTGGATTGTCTTCTGACCCATCAATACTTAACATTAATGAGTTGTAAAACAGAGTCAGTCTTTCCAACGTGTATTGTCACATTAGTCAGAGCCTCTTCCAGTCTATTGGGCTGGCAACGTCCAGAAAGATCCCATTGCTGGGTGGTGGGACCTAGGGCCGCAGGTCATTCTGGGAAGCTGGCACAGAAGATGATTTGCACAATGAAGTCACCACTAAACCACTGCTTAAGTCCAGTCCCCGACCTTCTTTTTCTGCTCTGTAGTCCAGAAACATTTCTTTAAAAGCCAGGAAATCTGTAAACGTGAGCAGCATGTCAAATATGTCGCCTGCCACTTCATCTTTATGGTGCTGTAAAGTTGTTGTGAAAGCCGCCATGTTAAACCCAGGAATCCGCTCCAGCAGCTGTTCTTCAATATACTTCTCTACCAAAGAAATATATTCATTAAAAATAGGCGTGTAGGTGAGTTTATTCTCTTCCGTGTCTTCAAACTCCTGATAGTACTTGTCCATGAAATTCCTCTGTAGTAACTGGAACTCGTCATCCATGATGATGTCCTCTAAATATCCAACCACAGCGTCGAATTCTGCATCAGAGGCAGAAGAGAACGACAGCGCGAAGCTCTCTTCCTCTAGGGCGTCCATCGCCGCCGCCGCCGCCGCATCCACCCGCGGGGCGAGCGCGCCCGTCGACCTTACCCCGCCCGCGGCCCGGGCCCAGCCTCCGCTCTGCTCCGTGGAGCCCCAGCCCGCATCCGGGAGGCCTCGCCGCCGACGCCGCGGCCGCTCACCGCCCGGGCCTCAGGCCTCAGGCTCCCCGGCGGCGGCCACGCGCCGCCCGGGCCCCCGCGCCCGGCCAGGCCTCTCGGCGCGCGCCGCCCTCGCCGCGGGGTCCGGGCGTCAGTTACCCACAATAGAGAGTCTTCTTATTTGTGCACATGGAATATCTCTCCATTTAGTCCTTTTTTTATTTCCTTCCTTATTCTTTGATTTTGCTCATAGGTCTTGTACATATTTTGTTAGATTTATTCTTAAGTGTTTCATTTGGGGTGGGGATAATGCTAATGTAAATTGGATTGTTTTTAATTTGAAGTTCCCACTCATTTGTTGCTGGTTTACAGGAAAATGATTGACTTTTCCATATTAACCTTGTATTCTGCAACCTCGCTATAATTGCCTATTAGTTCCAGGAGGGTTTTTCTGTTGATACTTTCAGATTTTCTATATAGACAGCCTTCCTTATCTGTAAACAAAGACAGCTTTATTTCTTCTTTCCCAACTTTTTAATTTCCTTTTTAGTCTTATTAAACTTCCAGTATATGTTGGAAGGAGTGGTATGAGGGGATATCCTTGCCCGGCTCCTCATCTTTGTGGGGAAGCTTTGAATTTATCACCATTAAGTGTGATGTTACGTGTAGGGTTTTTGTAGATATTCTTTATGAAATTGAAGGCATTCCCCCCTATATTCTTACTTTACTGAAAGTTTTTTTTATCATGAATGGTTACTAGAGTTTATGAGATATTTTTTCTGCATCTGTTGATATGATCATGATCTCTTTGGTCTGCTCATGTGATGAATTACTTTAATTGATTCTTGAATGTTCATCCAGCCTTGCATACTTGGGATAAATCCTGTTTGGTTGTGGTTTATGTACTTTTTATTTTTTTTTTTAGAGAGAGAGTACGCGTGCATGTGTGAGCAAGAGCAGGGGAGGGAGAGAGGGAGGAGAGGGAGAATCTCAAGCAGATCCTGCTGAGTGTAGAGCCTGATGTGGGGCCAGATCTCACCACCCTGATCATGATCTGAGCCAAAATCATCCTTTTTTTTTTTGGGGGGGGGGTCATTGGATTTGCTTATATTTTGTTGAGGATTTTTGCATGTATGTTCATGTGAGGTACTGGTCTATAGTTCTCTTTTCTTGTATTTGTCTGGTTTTAATATTAGGGCAAACCTGGCCTCATAGAATGAATTGGGAAGCATTCCCTCCACTTATATCCTCTGAAAGAGATTGTAGAGATGTTATGAAATCTCTGTAGAGTAGGAAGTTGATTGGTGGTTGCCAGGAGCTGAAAGAATGGGAAAAGGAGTCAGTGCTCAAATGGGTACAGGGTTTCCTTTTGGGTAATGAAAATATTTTGGAACTAGATAGAAGTGGTGGCTACACATTACAAATTACACTGACTTGTTCACTTTATTTTTTTCTTAAGATTATTTTATTTATTTTTTTATTGAGAGAGAGCAAGAGAAAGCACAAGCAGGGGAAGGGGCAGAGGGAAAGAGAGAAGCAGACTCCTCACTGAGTAGGGAGCCCAATGCAGGGCTCAATCCCAGGACCCTGAGATCATGACCTGAGCTGGAGGCAGACACTTAACTGAGCCACCCAGGCGCACCTGAATTTTTCACTTTAAAATGGTTAATTTACATCATGTGAAACTTAGTTCAGTAAAAACTTGCAAGGGCCAGTGTGTGTATGTAGGGTGTGTTTTGCACCCCTTAGCATGTATAATGGTGCCTAACAAATGGTAGGTGTTCAGTAAGTACTTGTTCAATAAACAGATGGTGCTTAAAAATACACATACAAGCTTACTGCTTTTTGTCCTTTCTCCCAATTATGTTGAAACAGTATATATCTACATAGTGTCCAGGTCTAAACTACTCCTGATTTCTTTTTTTACAGATAGAGGATGGTGAAATTTTTGCAAGTATTAATCAGAAGGATGGAATGGTCAGTTTCCATGATAACCCTGAAAAATATAATAACCCAGCCATGCTTCATAATATCGATCAAGAGGTAAATACAAATGTCACGTTTTGATTTAAGTGATGTTCGAGATTCTGTATTTGAAATAACTGTCTCTATGCTCTAGGACAATTTTAGTTTTAGATACAGGTAATTCCCAACTAGTTTCTAGGAACATCTTAGTTCCTGGGAAGTTATTTTAAAAATGGGCATTGCTTCAACCTCTCCCAGATTGTATGGTTATAAGTAAATAAATGGTGGGTTGGATTTCACCAAAGCCTAGTTTAGCTACTAAAACACTTTAGGGTCTTTCAATCAGTACAATTTATCTACACCCAACCATCATTTATAATGTAGAGCCTCATTTCTGTGAGAGTGCACTCAGAATTCCAGGTGGGAAAGTCAGAAACATCAGTGTCAGGGTGGCTGGAGGGGCAAGCCGTCCTGCAGTTTCCTATTAGGCAGCAGCCAAGAGCCAGAGCAGTCCCATTTGCATCTTCTGAGGTCATGCTGCTCTGAGTGCCACTCGGGTCTAGATATGAGTTAGGATTGTGTGGACAGTCTATGTTTCTTACCTCAGACATCAAATCTCAGAAACCTGGGATGCCTGGTTGGGTCAGCAATTGAGTGTCTGCTTTTGGCTTGGGGCATGATCCCAGAGTCGCAGGATCAAGTCCCGCATCGGGCTCCCTGCATGGAGCCTGCTTCTCCCTCTGCCTATGTCTCTGTGTCTCTCATGAATAAATAAATAAAATCTTAAAAAAAAAAAAACAAAAAAAAAACCTCTCAGAAACCTAAAAGCAATCCAGAGTAACATAGTATATACTTCCACAGTCCTTTTCCAATTTACAATCCGGAAGACCCATGAAAACTGGAGGGTTTTGGTAACTTAATGTGATGGCGAATTTCACCTGAAATGATGTATAGCCTTTATCCCACTTATTGTGCATATTTTTAGGTTTCAGTGCAAAAGATATTAATGTGTCTGATTATGGGTGCTTCCCTAGATCCTATTGGGATGTTAGGTAATATACAGTATTTTTCCTGTTAACTTTCCGCATTCAAAAAATTCTGATTCCAAAACCTATGTAGCCTCAGGCATTTCAGATCATGGGAGTATGAACATATAGCTCCCTATATTGATAATTTAGGTTAAAAAAGGAGGTAAATTGGGCAGCCCAGTGGCTCAAGCGTTTTAGCGCTGCCTTCAGCCCAGGGTGTGATCCGGGAGATCCGGGATCGAGTCCCACGTTGGGCTCCCTGCGTGGAGCCTGCTTCTCCCTCTGCCTATGTCTCTGCCTGCCTCTCTCTCTCTCTCTCTCATAAATAAATAAATATATATATATAAAGGAGGTAGATTGACCTAAACTCGCTTACTAACCACCTTCAAACATGTCTGTCACCAGATGCTGAAGTGCATAGAGCTGGATGAGCGACTGAAGGCCATGGACCAGGAGATCACAGTGAACCCCCAGTTCGTACAGAAGGTGATTAAGGTTCCCTTTGTTAACTAGAAATGGCCTGGGTAGAAAAGGAGGGGTATTTCCTCATCAGAACTGTGACCTTGATTTGAGGTTAAATGTTTAGTTGCCCCAAGGTCCTAAAAAATCCTTGTCACTAAGTTCACAGAGAGTCACGGAGGGCATTTTCAAACTATAATAGCCTTTCTATGTGTACACAGGGTGGCTGACGGTCGTTGGGGAGGGTGACGTGTGCTTGTTTGGGGCTGAAGGGAAACCTTTGACGAGAACAAACATAAATAGATTGTCTTACTTTCCTCTTTACAGAGCATGGGATCACAAGAAGATGATTCTGGAAACAAACCATCTAGTTACTCTTGAAACTAACATCCATCCTGAGTTAGATGAAATTTATCACCTTGGCCAGTGGCAAGTGTTAGGAGGGCAGCAGGGAGGACCAAGCCTGTGTGACCTGGACATTAAGAAATTACATTTTGTTTTGACATCTTCAGTCCTATGTGCTTTAAGAAAACCATTCTCTCTGCAAAGAAAGGAAAAAAAATTCAAACTTTAAAGTCTGTTGTGGATTTATTTATCCTCAGATTAATGTTGTTGCATTAAATCTACATTTTTGTTTTAAATTACTTGAACATTCATGTGTCTTCTGTATCGCTTTATTCCCCCCTCTAAAAAGTTTTTAAAGGATATATTCATTGTGTGAACAGGAATAGTTAAAACTTCAGGAATTTTTGGAAGATTTTAATCTAAAGTTCGATATTGGTGGCCTTTACAGAGGAAAAAAAAGCCTAGGAGAGTTTATAATGCAGAAGCTAATTTTTTATCAATAGAATTAATATGCATTTTAGTGACAGTATGAACTGTGAATTCAGGAGATGCTGTTGTGTGCTTTCTAACCTGTGGTATGTGCTACACTCTTGTAGTCTTGGAAATGGCATTTTTTATGAGACCAGCGCCAGATTTTCCTGTATTTTCTTCCAGAAGCATTTTCAGTTAAGCTACATGGCTGCATCTTGATTACTGTGTTCAGAGTCTAGTATAGAACTCTGAAATGTTGTCTAATGAGGGCTCACCGATTAAGCCGGGAAATGGTGTGTGGTCTTAGTAAAGTATGATAAGAATTTAGTCCTTAAAAATGTCTCTCTCTTGCTAGCAACATTCACTTTTTAAAATGTGTCAACTTGTATAGTCAGTCACATTTTCATTATTTACAAAAAGAAAACTTACACCTCATGTAAAAAGTTGCCCCTAATCGACTTTGGGGGTCAGATGATCTATATTGGTACCTCTGCTATGCTTCAGGAAAGCAGCCACAGACAATGAGTTCCAATAAAACAGATACAAAAATTGGCAGAGGGCTGGATTTGACCCTTTATCAAAATTCTCAAATTTTCTAGCTCAAATTAGTACTGCTTGCAGGCTGCACTATTTTCACTTATGTTTACATGTACCTATGCTAAGGAAAGAAAAAATATTTCATGGAAATTTTCCTTTTATCAGCACAGTAAATTACAGAGTTTTTAAAAACAAATTGGACAACTTTCTGATTTTCCTACATCTAAATTAAAATCACCTGAAATGTGGGGCACTTGGGTGGCTCAGTCAGTTAAGCCATCTGCCTTCAGTTCAGGTCATGGTCTCAGGGTCCTGGGATCCAGCCGCTGGGCAGGCTTTCTGCTCAGTGGGGAGTGTGCTTCTCCCTCTGCCCCTCTCTCTGCTGCTCTGCCTACTTCTGCACACACCAGACTCTCTGTGTCAGATAAATAAAATCTTTTAAAAATTCTTAAAAAAAAAATTACCTAAAATGTGTTTGAGAATTCTATTAGCTACCAGTCATGACTATTTTAAGAATAATTCTATTGTGGGCTTCTCATGAATTGGACACTATTCATTTTTTCCTAAAATGAATTCATTAAAACCCCACTGTTTGCAAACCACACATCCTTGCCCCTCCTGTGTCTGTTGTCTCTCACCTTCACAACCACCTTTCTGATCTAGGGCTAGAACTCTGCACATCACATTTTGTTTTTTTTACCAACTAGAGGCAGACTGGAAGGCTAGGGAGGAAAAAAAAGCCAGGCCTCCCCACTGTCTGCTTCCCATTGAAGAGTAAAACCCCAGCAACAGCTCTCTGCCTTAACATTATGGTTCAATGCAGCAGCAGTGAGGCCTGGTTGCATTTCCCATGCTCCTAGAATTAGCCTTCTCTTAATTGTTGAGAGATTCCACACTCAAAAGGCAGGCCTCCCTCACATGCACAGCCTGGGGACCCAGTTCTACTGGCACCTTCAACCTTCTAAATTCTGTTAATACCTCTCCCATTTGTCCCCCAGGCCCTAAGGGTGGTATCTACTCCCTTCTTCTTCTTCTTCTTTTTTTTTTTTAAAGATTTTATTTATGAGGGACAGAGAGAGAGAGAGGGGCAGAGGCAGAAGCAGGCTCCCTGCAGGGAGCCTGATGAATGACTCAATTCCGAGGTTCCGGGATCATGACCTGAGCTGAAGGCAGACACCCAACCACTGAGCCACCCAGACACCCCTGGTATCTACTTCCTGCAGTTACTACCTTGGTGAGATATTTTTCCCCCTTCCCCAACACCTGCTTAATGTACTTATTATTTCTGTTAAGCTGGTGAGTGGTTTCTCTCTCGACAGGCGTTACTTCTGAAAATCTTGGATCAAGGAGACGAGTAACCTTTTATTACTAATAGAAGACTTCACACATGCTGCCTCTGAAAAATTTGTTGCTTGGCTATGCTTGTGTCTTGTTTTGGAATATTTATCAGAATCTGTTTGCTGAATAATCTGCTTGCTGAATCTGTTTGCATGAATGGTTAAGATACCCTTAGCTGTTCCTTTGAGTTAGTTCTCAGCAGCAAATTACCTTGTGAACATGTTTACTTATGAATACCTATTGCATTTTGATGGCACCAGAAGATGGTGAGTTTGTGCCTAGGGAAGTAAGGCAGTTTCTGAAGTCCAGGGATGTAGCCTTGGGTTGGTGTTCATTAGTGGACCTACCAGTTTTCTGAGGACTTTTCAAGTTCATTTTTCATGGTAATATCAAATGTTAATAAATACTCTGGATTAATGAGAGCAATTGCCCTCAGTACTTTATATATTTCTATTTGTATTGGTACCAAGTAAGCCACCCAAAGGGACAATGTTTAACTTTTAATATAGACTTTCTATATTAAATGTGTACACTTGATCTGAGTGATCTCCAATTTGGGATTTACTAGTATAAATTATTGTTTAGAGAAAAGCCTGCATTTATGTTTTTGAAGTGGTAAATGTTTTCCAAGCTCAAGAGTACTAATGGGCAATAAAGCAGTGGGATTTTTCTGCTTTGTATGGATGGCACCTCCTCTGTTTAGTAAATTACAATCCTAAACAAAGTGAGGTTATACAACAGTACTGTAAAAGATGCTTAATAACAGAGTAATGCCTTGTAATCTAATCAGGGACAAATACTTCTCTAACAAACAATTTGGCAGAAGGGAAACATAAGTCTTGGGTTTTTTTTTTTTTAATTTTATTTATTTATTCATAGAGATGCAGAGAGAGAGAGAGAGAAGCAGAGACACAGGCAGAGGGAGAAGCAGGCTCCATGCAGAGAGCCTGACGTGGGACTCGATTCAGGGTCTCCAGATCATGCCGTGGGCTGCAGGCAGCGCTAAACCTCTGCGCCACCGGGGCTGCCCAAGTCTTGGGTTTTTAGATGCTTGGTGTTCATTGGTGGGCCTACCTTGTTAAGTTCCCTCCTCAAGTTATGCCACCTGAGGTCAGTGGTATTCTAATTCTCTCCCCCATAATTCTCTCCCCCATGCTTGCTTTCAGAGATGTAGCGTGGGCTTTCTAAGTTCTAGGTTTCTGGGTTGCAACTTGAAATGGTAAGCAATTTGTAGAAGAAAACATTATACGCACATAAGTCTGAGCAGTTACTAAAAGCCCAGAGAAAATAAATATCTAGGTAAATCAGATTATTGTGAATAGGAAAAATCAATACTACCCTTTTTAGGCACTTGAATTAATGATGGTAAACAAAGACAAAATCCTACCTGCATCCTTTCTTAAATTCAAAATTTGAGACCAGAGAACTTTTGCTAATTTTAAAAGGCATTTAACAAGACTGGATCCATAATGATGTGGTAAAGTTTATTATTAGATGTAAAGAAAGCACTTGGTATTTAATATTTAACATGCAGCTAGTATCAAAACACAAAAAGCCTACTAGTTGAATTCTAACTGGGGGGAGGGGGATTATTTTTAAAAGCTTTCTGAACATGCAACGGTTAAAATTGCTAAATTAACACTAGTGACTTTTCTTTCTTTTTTTTAAGTAAGCTCCATACCCAACATGGGGCTTGAGCTCACGACCCCGAGGTCGAGTCACATGCTATACCAACTGAGCCAGTTGGGTGCCCCACTTGTGACTTTTCTTTAAGAGAAGATATTAGACTACTAATAGTTTGCAACTAACTGGACACCTTATATACAGAGTTGTCTAATAACCTAAGATTTCAAACCAACTTAGAGGTTGTGTATGAGTTCTACCTTCTGAACCCACTGTTTGGTGCCTTTCAACAGCCAGACAGACCCAAGCTTAAACACATCTGAAAACACAAGATTATTTTGGATGCTGGAAGAAAAGAAAGCTTAGATTATTAATTATTTCTGTAATCAGGAACCTACTGTAGTACCCTTAGAATAATGAGATCTAATATAGATGCCATTTTTCACAAATGAAACAAACCTCTTCCTTCTGAAACTGAAAACTGATGCAGGGACATAGTGATTTGACTCAGAGCCCATTTGTATTCCTCAGTTATGTAAGACCACCCATTGGTAAAGATACACCTAAAAGCCTCTCTGAGGGATTTCCCAGTGAGACTTGAGTTGGCGCCATGGTCTTGGCAACTAGTGTCCCTGAAGCACTTCATCAGTCTGGAGGATGGCCCGGGGTGTGATCCACATCTCTCCAGCTCTTCCCTCTAGGGGTCCACGGCACATCGTGCACGGAAGCCTTTAAAATTAACCTCTAAGTAGACAGGCGCCCAGGTTTTAAATATACGTATAACTTAATAACTGACTCATGGTAGTGAAGACCTCGGACGCCTTCTCGCTCCGGGAGGCGACGGTGCCAGGCACACGCGCACTCGGCCGCACCCCACCTCCAGTTTCCGACCTAGCCTCCCGCCGCGCTGCGCGCTTCCCCACGTCACGTGACGGCCCCCTCCGGGCCGCCTGCCCGCACGTCCCACCGAAGACCGGTTCCATGCCATGTAATCAAAGTCGATGGTGAAACCGTAAGCCATTACCCTGCTCGTGATCACATCGAGACTTTCTCTACTTCACTCTTCCTTGTGGACCAGGAGTACTAGGTTGGCTCTGTATTCCCTCAAATCTCTTTTAAAAATATTTTTCAATTTTAAGTGTCCCCCGCCTTGAAATGGTCTCCTCCACCAGCCCGAACGGTGCGGCCGGAACCATTCCGCACTTCTGGTGGGGGGAGGCGCGGAAGTCGGGCGGCGGAAGAGGCAGGCGGCGGGAAGCGGCTTCAGGTTTTCCGCGAGCTCGGAGCTGCCTGGCTCGCGCAGTTTTCTCGGGTGTGCTTGGCGGTGCAGAGGCGCGTTCAGCCAGCCCGTGCCCCCCCGCGGGGTGCGCGGATGGTACGGCCCGGCCAAGTCACGCGCCTCGGGCTGGGCGCCGCCGCGGCGCCGCCGCAGCCGCCGCCGCCGCCGCAGCCCCGGGTGAGTGGGGAGGTGGCCGGACCGAGCCAGCTGAGGGGAGGCGCGGGGCCCCGCGAGGGTAGGCGGGCGTCCCGGCGGGCTCCGGGAGCGCAGGGCGAGTCCTGTCAGGTGCGCCGCGGCCCGAGCGCCGGCGCCGGCTCCGGCCCCGAGGCTCTCCTCGCCCGCGGGGGTCGGACGGAGTCCGTGCGGGAGCCAGTCCCGGAGCGGGCGGCCGGCCGGCTCGTGCAGCCGTTGGAACCCGGGCTGGCGGGCTGCTTCGTGGAGGTCGAAGGGAGCCTGGCTTCCGGGGGGAGGGCTCGGGGAGGGGCGGGCGGCGGCGGGGGGCGAGGACCGGCCGGGAACGTGCCGGGGCGGAGGGCGCTCGGGTGGGCGGTGCGGCACCCCCGGAGCGGCTGTGCGGAGCTGCTGACGGGGTGGGCGGCAGATTCCCGGGCCGTCAAGGGACGGGGACCGTGAGCTCGGTTCCGACCCGGTCGGCGTCGTTGATTGGTTCTCCTCGAGTGTTGCCCGGGGACCGCGCGTGGCCTCGCCGCCCACCCAGGCCCGGCCGTCCCTCCGCGGCTCGGGGGAGGGTGCGTGTCCGGGTGTCTTCTCCCCCAGGCCGTCGTTCTCGGGAAGGGTAGGCCTACCTCAGCGCTCTCCAAGGCGGGTAGAAGACCCCTTTCCTCTCCGGGTTGCTGGATATCGTTGGGCGCAGCCTTGTCACCTGGAATCCATATTTACCCAAGGGTAGGCTCGCTGCGGATTGAGTCCCAGGTGAGCCTCAGCAGCTATTGGAGGAGGCAGAGGACAGGAGGAAGGAGGCACCTGGCACCCGCGGCGTCCACCGGGGTGGCTGTAGGGGCTCCCGTCACAGCGGAGAAAGCGCTGGAGGCGTTGGATTATCCCCGTCGTCAGGAGGAGATGAGGAATAGCACGTGACTGTGTTTGCCCTTGTAGTGTCACCCGCAGGGAACTTTGTAAACAGAAATCCAGGTGAAGGTGGAAATAGTAGAGCCACCAAGGTGTTGAATGGGTTTGAGCTGGAAGTAATTCCCTGTGGAACGTTCCACCTTGGACGTGCTGGGGTCCAGCTGCTGACTTAATGAGACTCCCCAGTGGAAGACTAGGTAAGGAAGCTGCAGGGAATCCTGCTGCTCCTTATTGGTTAAGAACCATGATGATACTGTGTTTATTTCCAAGGTGGTTTTTGAGCCTCTGTGGTCCTATGAGAAGACCCCAGGAAGTGGAAATGAAATAGACCCAGGGCCATGGAAAGGGCCCTACTTTTTTGAGTTATTTGGATTCTTTCTTTGAGTTGAAGACACTAGGGGAGGGGGGGACAGATTTCTGCTTCTTCCTTGGGTTCTGGAAAGCTCGTTGAGAACTGTTAGGTATATTCAAGCCAGTTTAGTTTCTTCGGTAAACATCTGGTACAGATTGGAATTGGGGGTAAATAGAAAACTGACTTCTTGGGACACTTCTGGGTTGGCTCAGCAGTTTGGCGCATGCCTTTGACCCAGGGCGTGTGATCCTGGAGACCCGGGATTGAGTCCCACATCGGGCTCCCTGCATGGAGCCTGCTTCTCCCTCTGCCTGTGTCTCTGCTGCTCTCTCTCTCTCTGTCTCTCTCATGAATAAATAAATAAAGTCTTAAAAAAAAAAAACTGACTTCCTGCCACTCAGAATTCTGATTCCACGTGCCCTGCATGGAGCCTGCTTCTCCCTCTTGCCTGTATTTTTGCCTCTCTCTCTCTGTGTCTCTCATGAATAAATAAAATCTTAAAAAAAACAAAAAACAAAACTGACTTCCTGCCACTCAGAATTCTGATTCCACGTGTTGTGGTTAACCTGAGAGCTGGGGTTGGCCTTTGTGTCTCAGCTTAGGGTGATTCTCAGGATAGGAAGATATTTGACATCACCTGTCAGGTAAAGGCTGGAGACAGGTTTTCTTTCTGGACTTTCTGGAGCTAAGTGGTTTCTCCTTGTCTTCTGCTGGCTGTCTGGGGCTCTTGTACTCCTGATCGGGACTGCTTTTTAAAAAAATCAAAACAAAACTACTAGAAAGAGGCTCCCATGTTGACCAGGGATGCTGGGAAGTAGCTTGGCAACATCACCTCTGGTGTCTCCTTCCCATTGGAGGAGGAGAGAAACTTGTAGGCCTAGGATCTGAAGGATTTCATAGGCATGGTATGGTTGCTGCAAGGCAGTCCCCTTGTAACCAAGAATAGGAGGGATGAGAACCTTATATTTGTAAATGTTTTGTATTTTTAAAAGATGTAAGTATATTTAGAGAAGTCCTTTATGAAATACGGTGTAGGGGTGCAAAAATTCCGCTCAAAGTGTGGCTGCAATGTCAATTTGCTGTCAGCCACTGCTCAAAAGGCAAAAAGCCTACTAAGCCATTCAGAACCATGGGAATCTCTGGCTCTTTTTTTGTGATGTTCTCATTTTAAGTTGGCAGTAAGCTGCTTGATTGTTGCGTATCACCAAGTGCATTGCTTTTATGATCTGCTTAGATTTTTTTTTTTTCCTTATCTAGAAAACATCAAGCCTTAGAGCTGCAGTATGGCCACCGCTGCCCTGCCCGACTCATTTGGAAATGGCCTTGCCTGCTCTTGTCTAGGTGGAATGGTGCACGCGTGATTTTGCTGAATATAACGGTTAGTATGGATGCTCTACAAACTGGGTGAGCCTTAGCCAAGTTCTGCTTTTTTGCAGATATTTTGCTGGAAGGAACCTTATTTCTCTTTTATTCCTCTTAAAGGAAGATGTAGCCTCTTTCTCCAGGGTTAATGCCTCTGCCTTTAGGTCTTAGTGCTTCTTCCTGTGGGATTCTTACTCCATTGATGGTCATTTCACCCCCCTCTTCCATAATAGATTCTTTTTTTTTTTTTTTTTTTAAGATTTTATTTATTCATGAGAGACACAGAGAAAGAGGTAGAGACACAGGCAGAAGGAGAAGCAGGCTTCCTGCAAGTAGCCTGATGGCGGAGTGGATCCCAGGACTCCGGGATCACTCCCTGGGCTGAAGGCAGATGCTCAATTGCTGAGCCGCCCAGCCACCAATCTGTCCCCCATAACAGATTCTTAAAGCATCATTTTCTTTGATCTCACCAGAGCGAGCCTGATGGAACCTCTGTTTAAATTTGGCTTATTGTGGTCTCATGACACTACGCATTCAGACTCTGGTTCTCCCCATGCTTATGCTCTTGAACCTCTCCTGGCCCTAGATATCCTCAGTGAGCTCTCTGCTTTCTGTGGCAACAACTGTTCTCTCTCCATGGGCAGCTCCTGAATCCACTCATCTATCCAGTACTTTAATGTGGTGCCTGCTGTGTGTGTCAGGAATTGTTGTAGATAAGACAGGCTCACTCCCTGCTCCCGCCTCCACCTTGGGGAACATTCATTTCTGGGAAACACAAACAATGCAGCTTCCAGGAGACCTAAAATAAAGCGGAAGAGGGGAGAGAGTGATGTAGTAGAAGGGAGTGGATGTTGTGGGGGCTGGTTTGGGAGGCCTCTCAGTAGGGACATGCAAGGAAGAAGGTGAGTCAGGCAAAGGTCTGTGGAGTGTCTCGGACTTTCACCCTCTGCCCAGCCCTCTCTGTTACTACAGTCCAGAATCTCCTTGGAACTCTCAGGGTTTTCCAGCTAAATATCCTGCTTTCTTGAACTCTGTCTTCTCTCCTGCTGTACCCCTCTCCCCAGGAACATCCCGTGCCCCAGCTCTCCCTACTTGCCAGGCACCTGCAAATCCCCATCTGATCCCCATGCCTGACTCGCATCAGCCCAGCTTACTTGTGTTTTGTGTTGGCCTCTGCCATTCCCACTGTCACTCAAGCTCCAACCCGTGCCTCAGGTACAAGAACAGGAGCAGTAGTAGTTGTGTCAGCTAAGAGGTTGCGTGCAAGACGCCAGGTGGGTGGCAGAGTTAGTGAGCAGGCTGGTGAAGGGAGGCTGCTGTGGAGGATGCCGTGACGGACAGACCACAGGGGTTTTGAGGATGCCATCACCCAGGACTTGCTCCCCACACCCCACATATGTGTTTGCACTGGGTTCAGCTTCCTGGGCTGATGCCTCTAACTGGTCAAGCCTTGGTCATGCCCATGGAGGAGGATGAGGACAGAGGCTTTGGCTCCATAATAGGGGAGGGGATCCCCAAAAGAGGAGGTTTGGATCCTAACCCCTGTCCGCTACTCAAATTTACCATATTTTTCATCAAAACCTATCAAAGAATTTCCAGTCTGAAGAAAATTCAGGCCTTCACTGTGGCCTAGAAGGGTCCCTAAAATCCACCTCCTTCTAGTCTTCTGCCGTCATTGCCCAGCTCTGTAGAGCCCTAGTCATGCCCCCTCGGTCCCCTGGCCTTTCCTCCCATCAGCTCTCACTCAGGAAGCCCCTGATGTCCCAAACCACATGGTACCTCCTCCAGTGAGTCTCTGCCCTGGACCTGCTGTCCTCTTCCCGAGGCTGTCACCACAAGAGAGCAAGCAGTGTGTCGTATGTCCCTCCCCTCCTCAAGGGTAAGCTCCACGAGGGCAGCATCATGTCACCCAGCATGGCAGCTGTTGATAGAATATACAAGTCTCTTCTCCAGACTCCTATGGCATTGATTGGTGTCACATTTGCCGTATTGTCACCCGCGCATGTGTTCTCTATGCTGTCTGCCTCTCAGCCCCATCACAACTCTTAACTGAAGGATTTTCCGCGGGGTCCTTGAATCACGTTCTTTCTCCATTGTAACTCCTGATTGGCAGGGACTGTTTTGTCTGCTGAGTTTCTGCTACAGCTGATGCGGTGCTGGCTGGCTAAACTGCCTTGCTGGCCAGAAAGCCTATTGATGACACCTTCCCAGTCCCTGTGCTCTAGAGCAGCCTCCAGGTTCTCTCGTGTGAACATAGGCTGCCTGGGTGATGGTGTCTCCTCTCATCCACCCCCTGCAGGCCCTCTGCTGTCTCCAGGACACCATGAATGCCATCGTTGCTCTCTGTCACTTCTGTGAGCTCCACGGCCCCCGCACTCTCTTTTGCACAGAAGTTCTGCACGCCCCGCTTCCGCAAGGGGCTGGGAATGGGGACAGCCCTGGCCAGGGTGAACAGGCCGAGGAGGAGGAAGGTGGCATTCAGATGAGCAGTCGGATCCGCGCTCACAGTCCAGCTGAAGGGGCCAGCGCAGAGTCCAGCAGCCCGGGGCCCAAAAAGTCAGACATGTGCGAGGCAAGTGTCTCTGGGAGTGTTGGAGATGTTTTTTCCTTGTCAGGAACTTGTGCTTATGCTGAGTATTTGACCTGGAGGGTGGGCAGGAGACCCTGTGGGACTCAGCAGTGGCTGTGATCTCACAGAAAAGTGGGAGCTTCAGGTGATGGGTACAGGCCATTCTTGTGGGCCCTGTGCAGTGTGTTCACTTCTTTTTATGTCCGTCCAGTTCTTTCCTTTCATCCCAGCTGTCGTTTTATCGGCCGACCCTGTGCCAGCAGACACCTGACACTAGTTGACATTTGCTTTTCAGCCCTCCCCTCTGTATGCTCATGTCTGCACACAGGCCCATCCTTGGCTCCACTTGCCTCAGCCCAATATCTTGGGAAGTTTCCTCCTCATGGGGTCTTGCTTTTACTCTTGGTGTCATTTATGAGCTCTAGGGAATGAGGTTTAAGTTCCCTTAGCAAGTTGCTGCTTTATATGACAGACCTGGGTCAAGATCTGAAATCAGGAGTGGTGTTAGACCTGCCATTACAGGGTGGACAGGAATCCAACTGCATTAGTTTGGTTCCACTGAGAAGCCAACAGCATGCACGAGATTGATCTTTTCATTGCTGGAAACACCTGTGAGGAAGCAGAAGGTGGGGAAAAGCATTGCCACCATGAACAAATCTGACAGCTGTGAAGGAGAGGAAGGAAAGGGTGCTAGAAAAGAGAGTCATTGAGCTGAATTGCCATGGGAAGGGTCCTGCATCTCCCACAGAGGGGCTTGCCTCAGTACATTCTTGTGCAGTCTGGTTGGGGATAGCGTCTGGGACCTGACCTCAGTGCCGACGTGGTGGTGCCTCTAGAGGGGCAGCAGCCAGGACCACCAATCCCTTTCCGCTCCATAGCACTGGCTCTGAGCTCGTGTTGTCAGGGTATGACAGCAGCGTGGAAGTCTGGCAGCCTCCTGGGGCCCCTGCTGAGTGGTTGTGTCAGGACCAAGGACAGAGGCTAGCCCCTTATTCTATGTGGGCCTCTTTGCACCCCTGACCTGCTTCTGTAAAATGAGGATTCTCAGTGTAATTATCTCCTAGGGTTCAGTGGATTAAATGAGGTGTATGCAGAGCTCTTCATAATACCTGCCACATAAGTGCTCAGGAGATTAGATCTCTTATTTATACTCTGATGATCTTTGTGATCTCTGTGTTCTGTTTTCCTATTCAGGACACGTTAAAATCTTCACATGGGTATAACTCTAGATGCCAGTTATCTTTATATGAAAATAGACTGAGTTTTCTCATTCAGATGTACATAAGAAAGTTTGTTGCCTGCTTCCTCACTAATTGGTTTTCTTCTCTTTCTCGGGGGCAGGGCTGCCGGTCCCTTGCTGCAGGGCATCCCGGGTATATCAGCCATGATAAAGAGACCTCGATTAAATACGTCAGTCACCAGCACCCCAACCACCCCCAGCTCTTCAGCATTGTCCGCCAGGCCTGTGTGCGGAGTCTGAGCTGTGAGGTGAGCACTGTGACTCTGGGGGGTACTCTGTGGGAATATCACAGATACTCCAAGGTGCCCTGAACAGGTTCAGTACTGGTTATAGAAAGGAAGACAGGTCATTGCTTCTGGGAAGAGGATAGGTGGATCAGGGAGCAGGGAGCAGGGAGCAGCTGCAGTTAAAGAACTCCAAAATACGTTGAGTTGGACTGCAGTGTTCTAAATGGTTTCTAGCTTATCATTTCAAGCACCAAACTTAATCTATTCCTTTTTTTTTTTTTTAAGATTTATTTATTCATGAGAGACACAGAGAGAGAGGCAGAGACAAAGACAAAGGGAGAAATACACTCCTCACAGGGAGCCCGATGTAGGACTGGATCCCCAGACCAGGATCACGCCCTGAGCCGAAGGCAGATGCTCAACCATTGAGCCACCCAGGCATCCCTGTTATCTGTCTATTCTTGATGAATATATTCCTAAGACATTAAACATTTCTAGGTTATGTGGGTTACTCTATCAAATACCACCTTTTTTATTGTCTCAATCATCAATACAAGCCTTAGTGGTCACTGTGTGCTCTCAGAACCTCTTGAAGGTTGAATCAGTTTGTTCCTAAACTACCGGGCTCCTATTGTTGAGTTCAAGTCTTAACCCTTATGGTTTTTGGTTTTTTACTCTTTTTTTGAAAAAAAAAAAAAAAGTTTATTAGTATTTGTGCGTGCATGTGCACATGCACATGCTGGCATATGAGCGGGAAGGGAGAGAGAGAGAAAAATCTCCGCAGACTGAGAGATATCTAATGGGGGTCAGAGCACAGTTGGTTTTATCATCTCTAGGTCTTACAGCCCACATAGAGCCTGAAATCGGGATTGATCTCAAGACCCTGAGATCATAACCTGAGCTGAAACCAACAGTTGGATGCTCAACTGACTGACCAGCGTAGGTGCCCCTTAGTTCTCATAACTTTATCTGTCACAAAGAATTCATAATCCAGTTATAAAACTTCCATTCTCCGTGCCCACTTGATCTGACTGAGGCCCCATCTCAGTTTTCACTTACGGTTGCAGTGTGCCTACCTTCAGCTGCTTTGATTTCCTACTGCTAATCTGCTAGAAGCAGGTGATCATGCCTAGTTGAATTCTGTGTAAAGTAAGAGTGAATGTCTTACAAGGGGGACCTAACTTCTCGGCTGTAAATAAAGTATACACATTTTATTGTTTGGACTCTACAGTGATTATTTTGACCTTCTCCAGTATATTCCAGATGAGTGATGTTGGCAGATTTGAGTCTGGAATAGATATAATATTTGAACAGGAGTTATTTATGGTTCAGGATAGAAAAAAGTCATGAACCTACTTTACTCATCATTGCAATGTATGATTACAGATGTTTTCTTTTTTTTTTTTTTTTTTTAAGATTTTATTTATTTATGAAAGATGGAGAGAGGCAGAGACACAGGCAGAGGGAGAAGCAGGCTCCATCCAGGGAGCCTGATGCGAGACTCAATCCCGGGTCTCCAGGATCACACCCTTGGCCAAAGGCAGATGCTCAACTGCTGAGCCACCCAAGCATCCCGGATGTTTTCTTTTAAAGTCTAGTCCCAGGAGCAGAGGAAAGCAGTTTTCCTCTCGTCCCCATCTTTTTCCCTATTCCTATAACTAATGCTGGTTAATTAGTACAGAAAGGTAAGTGGGAGGAGGACTGTCTCCTGCAATGGCTGTGGATTTTCACAGGTCTGCCCTGGTCGTGAAGGCCCCATCTTCTTTGGGGATGAGCAGCATGGTTTTGTGTTCAGCCACACTTTCTTCATCAAAGACAGCCTGGCCAGGGGCTTCCAGCGCTGGTACAGCATCATTGCCATCATGATGGACCGAATTTATCTCATCAACTCCTGGCCCTTCCTGCTTGGGAAGATCCGAGGGATCATTGATGAACTTCAGGGCAAGGCACTCAAGGTGACCCCACATAAAGGGAGAATGGGTGGCAGTGGGGGAGGAACTTTGCACTGATGGGGATCAGAGCACAGCTGGTTTTTATCATCTCTAGGTCCTGCAGCTGTTGCTCACTCCGAATCATGGTCTTCTGACTGCAGAGTCAGTCCTGCTTGCTTTACTGGGCTCTCTTGAGTACATTGTCCAGTTCTCCTTCAATTCTGGCTGCTTGATTGTGGTCACATGCCCTGGTTTCTCCCCGGTGTCTGTGCTTCCTCTGACCTTCATTTGGAACCTGTCCACAAATCGTGTTGTAGACTCATCGATACTGTAGACTTCTAGCTCTTGTAGTATTGTTTCTCAGAATAGGCCATTGTGCTGAACAGCCCTCAAACCTCAGAGGCATAAAGGCCCACAGTTTTGGGGGTTGCTTCCTTTGTTTTGCTTGGGGGTTGGGAGGAGGAGTTTTCTTGTTTTTTGTTTTGAGAGAACAGGGTGAGAGCAGAGGGACAGGGGGAGAGAATCTCAAACAGCCTCCACACCAAGTGTTGGGCCCTAACGCAGGGCTTGATCCCATGATCCTGAGATCACGACCTGAGCCAAAATCAAGAGCCTGGCACTCAATCAACTGAGCCACCCAGGTGTCCGACAGGTTTTTTTTTTTTTTTTTTTTTTTTTTTTTATTATAGTTGTTGATGTTCTGTGTCCATTGCAGGAAATGGGAGGGATATACTTGCTGTAGTCAGCCGAGCAGGTGGAGCAGCAGCCATATTGGAAGATTGCTCATTTCTCCACAAGAGGGCATAGATGATGCTGGAGGGCCTTGTTTCTCTCTCACCTTATTGCCAGAATTCAGCACATGTCCCACCCACACGAGGTCACTCAGTGAAAACCTCCATGTGTCCAGAATAGGAAGCAGGGGGGGGACTGGAAATATGTGGAGAACAGCACTAATGATCACGCAGGCATGTATGCGACCTGAGTACCCAACAAGTGCCTGATGAGTTGGTTGTGGGAGCGGAAGTGGGTACAGGGGAAATTCATAACCGATTCCTCTTCCTTAGATAGCTTTTTGTCAAGCTGTGAGGCAAAAACCATTGAGAATGATGAGACTGGCGGCACTTTCTGCACCCTATATCAGAACAGCAGAAAAAAAAAAAAAAAACAGCAGAATGAGACAGTCTTCAGGAATAGGATCCAGGAAGTTGTCTGTGAATGAGCTGGCTTTGGACTCCTTGGCGGGTTTTGTTTTGTTAAAAGGTCACCGCTTCCTTTCATGTTTTAGGTATTTGAGGCAGAGCAATTTGGTTGCCCACAGCGTGCCCAGAGAATGAACACGGCCTTCACACCATTCCTGCACCAACGCAATGGGAACGCAGCTCGTTCACTGACCTCCTTGACAAGTGATGACAACTTGTGGGCATGCCTTCATACCTCCTTTGCTTGGTAACGAGATTTTTCAGTCTTCTAGCCATTGAGAGTAGACATGGTCTACTGGTTAGATTATGCATGAATCTGGGGAGGACAGGCGTTGGGTGAGTTCCCCTAGGGAGCTCTGTGCTGTGTACTTGTTGGCAGGCGCTGACCTGCATCTCCCTTTTTTCTAGGCATCTTCCCTTAGGCACATGGAAAAAGGACTTAGGTGGCACTCACATCCCCATATGCTTAAGATGCCCCTACACCAGAGCAGTGATCTCTCTCTCTGTCTATAGCAGCAAACCTTTATCTCACACAGGTCTGTGGGTCAGGAATTTGAGAGTGCCCGGACTGGACAGCTCTGGCTGATTCTCAGGAGTTCATCAGTTGGGGCTACAGTGGTCCCTGGCCATTTGGTGCAGGCTTTTGGAAGCACTTCTGGCACAGGCTGTCTAGTAAGAGTGTGGTGGCACTCAGGCCTGCCTGGTCAGGAAGAAAGGATGATCTCTGTCTTTTTAAAATCACTGCGGTCTGGCCACAGATTGTTTCTGTTCTTTCCATTGCAAGATGGACCTCTCCCAAAGATGCCCTCAAATCCTCACCCTTGTGCAACAGTGGCTTCCAAGTCTGGGGCCTCATCATCTAAGGTGTGGAAGAGGTGCCTTGAACAAAGATCTTTGAGAGTAGCTCCTGAGGGCTTGAGAATTAAGGAGAGAGTATCTGTCTCCTGTGCTCAATGTAAAATCATTTAGAGATTTTCAAAGAGATCCAAACTAGAATAAATAGTACAATCAACTGTACACTCTCATTTTCCAGTTGTAGTATTGTCAACATTTTCCTGCTTTTTCTCTCCCCTCCCTTTTTTCTGGAATATGTATTTTTTAGATTATATTTATTCATTCATGAGAGACACAGAGAGAGACAGAGACATAGGCAGGGGAGAAGCAGGCTCCCTGCAGGAAGCCCAGTGCAGGACTCAATCCCAGGACCCCAGGATCACACCCTGAGCCAAAGGCAGACACTCAACCGCTGAGCCACCCAGGCATCCCTGGAATATTTTTTTAAAGCAAATCTTAGTTGTATAATTTCAAACACAAAATCATCCAACAAAATCGACCCATTGCTTAGCATCATCTAGCCCGATATATGTTCAGTTTTCTTGTTTGGCCTCAGGACTGTTTTTTGAAATGGGGATCAGATCACCACTACAGACTGTACACATTGTTCTCTTAGTCCAAAGCAGTTTCTCCTGCGCCTCTGCCATGGATTTTCCCATGCCTTTTGTCAGAGGACCTGGGTCATTTGTCCTGCAGAATTCTCCTTTTGCATTTGGCTGATTGTGACTTTGTGATGTGTGCAACGCGATCTTTTGTACCCATATTTTCTGTAAGCTACTAGTGAGATCAAAAGGCTTGATTGGCTTCAGGTTCCACTTTTCTTCTGGCAAGAACACTTCACAGATGGTGCTTTGTTCTGCAGGCTCCTGAAAGCATGTGGCAGCCGGCTGACTGAGAAACTCCTAGAGGGTGCACCCACAGAGGACACATTGGTCCAGATGGAGAAGCTCGCGGGTGAGCAGGGAGTGCTTGTGCTGGAAGCCTGTGCTAGCAGTCGCTGTTAGGGGCCATCTCACAACCACCTAGCCCTCCATCCTGATTAAGGGGACCCTAGGAGGAATAACCCAGGAGGAGCATCTGCAAGAGCTCAACCTGTAGTCTTTTTTTACTGTGTTTTTACTGTGGTTTCCTGTTTCCGTTTCCTTGACAGTCACATGGAGGAGTTTACCATCCTGGGCAGCCTGGGAAAGTCTGCTATTTAGCGCTGTGAGGCTGTGGAGAAGATACATGACAGGTTTTCTTGTCTCTGTCTTATGATCCCCAGGTGCCTGCCCTCTGTAGACACTTGAATAATAAAATGTTAAGCTTCAATTGGACCCAGAGTTTCCATCAGGGTAAGGCTTCCGAAGCCTTACTAATGTATGGGGACTCCTTCCCAGGTTTTTGATCAGAAATCTACATCTAGGGCTTAGGGTCCTATGTTTTTGAAGTAACTTCCTGAGAGATTCTGCTGAAGGTGTGTACCAGCCAAGGAACCTCTGGTCTCAATCCAGAGACGAGGAAAGCACATATGCTTTTCGTTTAGAGATGACGTGATTCTTGGTGACCTACAACAGCGGCCCCAGCTTTGGGGTTGGGTAAACCAGACTTGCAGTGTATGTTGTGTGTAATGTGTTACTGGTAACATTTGACATGGTTCAGGTTGCAAATGGCCTTCTTAATAAATTGGAGCTGTTTCAAGGTTAGTCCTATAGCCGGGTGACTTTGCACACTTAGATTCCAACATGCTTTCCTAAGTGGGAGAAAGGGAGTAGAATTTCAGCGAGACCAGAGCATGACAAGACCTTGGTAATCCACCTTCATGCCCTCATGCATCAGTCGACCCTAGAACCATTTATTATTGTGATTTCAAATTTCTAGGTTAGTAAAGATGGCAAGGGTAGTCTGTTGGTGGGAGTATACAGAGAGCCAAGTGGCAGGCACACAGGGCTTTCTGTCATGTCTTAGGCTGTATTTTACTTTGGAACACACACTTTGGATTTGGACAGAACTGACTTCAGATCCTGGCTCCGCTCCTTGTGCATTCTGTACGACCACACAAGACTTCTTCCCTATGGTTCTCATTGGGAACATAGAGGGAAGATGTCCTTATTTGTGATGGTTGTCACAGAGATTAATGGAAGTAACAAATAACTTCCTTATCTGTAAAATATGGTGAAGAGTTCTGATCTCAGGACAGTTGAAAGGATAAAGTGAAATGTATGGAAGCATTGAGAATAGGGCCTGACTGAGGAAGTGTTGAGTGACCAAGCTATTGTCATTCTCATCTTTGCTTGGAATTATCCCACAGCCATGAACATTCATAGTCTTGCAGGTGCCTGCTTCATGATGCAGTGTGAGGCTTTGAGCCAAGTAAATAGACCAGTGGACTGAACCCTCCCTGCTCATCCCAGGGCTCCAGGGGCAACAAGTGATGTAGGTAGCTGGCCAGAACCAGAAATCAGAACACCTTGGGCTGACATGGACACAGTAGCACTGTCGCATCCAGGGAGTGAAGGAATCCAAGGACAGCAGATTTCATAAATGTCTCTGTTGTCCATCTTGCAGACCTGGAAGAGGAATCAGAAAGCTGGGACAACTCTGAGGCTGAAGAGGAGGAGAAAGCCCCCGTCTTGCCGGAGGGTGCAGAAGGGCAGGAGCTGACCAAGTGCCCAACGGATTCTTCCTTGCTCTCAGACTGTGGAAACTGGCAGCCCCGAAAGTTGTCTGTCTTTAAGTCCCTTCGGCACATGAGACAGGTAGTCCTGCATTCAGAAGCTCCAGAGAACGGCCCCATCCCCTCCTTCTCATCCAGCACACTTTGTTCCTTAGGCCCATCATCTTGAGACCCCATGGGGACTGGTTGGTTAGGAGTGGCCAAAAAACCTCCATGGCTGCTGAAGATAGCTGGGGCTGTCTGGCATAACTTAGCCACAGGAGCACTGTGCTCCCCTTTTAGTGAGGGACGTAGGTGTCTTTTTTAAAGAAAGTCCTGCGTGGTCGGCTTCTCATGGTCCTCTCATCGTGTCCTGCTGGACCCTATTAAATTTTTTTTATTTATTTATGATAGTCACAGAGAGAGAGAGAGAGAGAGAGAGAGGCAGAGACACAGGCAGAGGGAGAAGCAGGCTCCAAGCACCGGGAGCCCGACGTGGGACTCGATCCCGGGTCTCCAGGATCGCGCCCTGGGCCAAAGGCAGGCGCCAAACCGCTGCGCCACCCAGGGATCCCGTGCTGGAACCTTTTAAAGGAATTGAACAGTACTGCAAAGTGGAAATGATGGCTGCCCTTACAGAAAATTGGAAAGAATCTGGATGTCCAATCAATAAGAATTGCATCCAAACAATGGAATGTCCTTAAATACAGAAAGGAAAGCATCCAGTGGTAGTACAGGGTGGTATGTGTGTCTGTACATATGCGTACCAGAGACGACACAAAAGTCACACAACAGTGTTGACCATGGTTATATTCAGTCAGATGGGAAGAAGAGATCACAGGATTACAAGGGCAGGCCCTTTTTATATTTTCCTGTGATTATTTTTGCTATGAGCATGAATTTTAACAAAAGATAGTTATTTCTGTTTTGGAAAATGAAGTAAAGATTGATTTAATGTCAGATGCTCTATGGGGCTTCTTGATGAGGAAGAATCACCCATGAAAACCACATATTTGGCTAAAATTGTCCTTGTTTGTTGCTTATGTGGATTAAAGTTAAAAGGAATCTTCCAATTTCATGGGAGGTGGGAATATTTTGAAGCTATAGGAATTTTGTAAAAAGGAATATTTCTAACTTCCTTTTTTTTAAAAAAAAAAAAAAAAGGCCACGTTATAAGCCTGTTATAAGGTAACAGCCTAAACTCTATAAAAACGCCAGTATCAGGGGAGTTATAAAAAGAGAGAGGGACTAATCTAGCATAAAACAGAATAAAGAACTCAGAATAAATGAAACAGGCATGATCCTTAAGTGACTCCTCGGTTGAAAGGATAATAGCTACAAGGGACACAGTAGAGATTTGGGGCTCTAAACCCAGATACTGGGTCAGTGGACATCCGGGTAGCATTTCTGTGTGTGTTGTGTATTGGAGCTGTGTAGAAGAGCCCTTAATGCATCCTGGGTGCTAAAGTGTCATGCTGCCTGTCCCTTACTTTGAAATGGTTCGGCAAAATCGCATAGAGAGAGAGTGAATGTTGTAAAAAGCTAACATGTTTTCTGCTTCAAGTTTTTAAAAATGAGATTGAGGAAAAGATCTTAAAGTGTGCAAGGGCTTTGGTATCAGGCTTCGGGTGCATATCCAGAGCCTTGCACCTGCCTCCACCTCACTGTGGGCAAGTCAGCCAGCCCTTCCCTCTCCTGACCCGTCTTCCCTCACTATGTGGAGAACACACAAATAACTTTGGTTGCATAAAAGGGCAGAACACATTGAACTGTATTTTCTAGGTCCTGGGTGCCCCATCTTTTCGTATGTTGGCCTGGCATGTTCTCATGGGCAACCAAGTGATTTGGAAAAGTAGAGATGCAGACCTTGTCCATTCAGCTTTTGAAGTTCTTCGGGTAAGCATATCTTTTCTCTTAAGTCTTTAATAGCAGGATGGTATTTGGCTTAGTGGGTTCTTGTTTTAAATCCTGATTTTAGCTGTGAATGTTAGGATGCAGGGATGGCTCGGTGCAAAGGTTCATGCCTGAATCTGAGGTCTGTGCTTTTTGTCCATTGTTGAAAATGGCAGTCACTGACGGTTATTATTTCCAGTGGAAGGAGCCTGTGCTATCCTAATAGAGTGATAATTAACTACCCCATCTCCAACCCAATATTCCTCAAAGAACCCATTGGTGTGGTTCACAGCTGTCTTAGAGGCAGGTTTGGGTCATCACATGTCCCTGCACACAGAACATTCCTGATGAGTCCGGTGGGATGTGGGTCTGTTGTGCTGCCTGCACCTCGCGGGTGTAGTGGGTGCCAAGGCCCAGGTCTGGTTGATGATATTTAAGTCCTCAGAAACCTCGTGTATACCTAACATTGGCCTAGGCCTGTGAGAGCACAAATGAATATGACATAATCTCTCAAAGAGCTTATTATACTCTCTTTGTGGGATGAGGGAAGAGACAAGAATCTGAGAAGTCAAAGCATAATAGGAAGATTAACACCACAAAGAGGTAGCACAAGTCCCGTATGCTTGATAGCTAGGGTAGGAGTGGGGGCCATGCGGGAGACACCCCAGTGGGGCTGTGTGACCGAGGATGCTTTCTGGGAGGAGAGAAGCTTGGGCCGAGCTGGGGCAGGCACGTGGGGTGTGGGTAATGGAGATCGGCAGGCGCTGTTTCAGCTGGGGTTGGTCCTGAGTCACTGTGTCCCCTCTAGACTATGCTGCCAGTGGGCTGTGTACGCATCATCCCTTACAGCAACCAGTACGAGGAGGCCTACCGGTGCAACTTCCTGGGGCTCAGCCCGCATGTGCAGATCCCATCCCACGTGCTGTCCTCAGGTACACACCTCCCCTGGCCCACCCCAGGCGCTGTACCTCAGGGCTCGGAAGCAGAACTGCATCTTAGCTGCGGACCTGAAGATGGTGCCTGCTTGGAAACAGGACAACCAGCTTTCCAGTGGCTTTGGGCCTCTTTTTCCCTTTATAATGGTTGAGGGATGGACAAGACAGGCTGAGTGAGGGTGGCTTGCTGGATAGGGTTCTTGGTGGAGGGCAGGGTCTGGTCAGGGAATGGGTGTCAGAGGTTGTCATGTCATTGTGCTGAGTTGGTGATGCCAGCGAGATTCAGGAGGCAACTGTTTTCTTTAATATGCCTTAAATCCAGCCTTGATGTTCATTAGTACAGTGGGGCTTGCTGCACCTCGGCAGAGCATCTGGTGTTCAGCAGTCCGGAGCCACCACTCCATTCAGCATCCCAGACTGAGTTCTGAGGCCCTGCGAGGCAGCACTTTTTTTGGAACATAGGCTCTTGGTTTCAAAAATGGGCTTGAAGTTTTTAACCACTACAGACTAACTGTGCAATCTTGAGCCAAACCATTTAGCTTCTTTGAATTTCTGTCATAAAATGGGACTTAACAGTGGTACCGTTACCGGGCTGCTGGGCATTAAGTGAAGTGAGATACAGAATTCCAGTAGTTACTGGAGTATAATACATGAACTAAGGCCAAGAGTTAACCCTTAACTCTATTCTTAAATACACTGCAAAGGGTTTCCAATGCCCAAGCATTAGTCGGGAGGCGAGTTTCAGCTCTCTGATCTGACATGACCTGGCGTGGCGGCTGCGGGAGGCAGGCTCCCGAAGGGGGCAGATGCACGCCTCCTGCAGTAGTGCATTTTGTGTTGCTGTAGAATTTGCTGTCATCGTGGAGGCCCATACAGCCCCCCGCTCCAGCCTCCACCCAGCCGGATGCGAGGATGACCAGTCTCTGAGCAAGTACGAGTTTGTTGTGACCAGCGGAAGCCCTGTAGCTGCGGACCGAGGTGCGTGCTGCCAGGCCAGCCTGCCTTTTCCCACGGTGAGCGGGAGCAAGAGCACTGCCGCTGCCTCTCGCTCCCCATGCTGACGACCCTGCCCTTGTTCCCAGTTGGCCCCACCATCCTGAATAAGATGGAAGCGGCTTTGACCAACCAGAATCTGTCCGTGGGTGTGGTGGATCAGTGCCTCGTCTGCCTCAAGGAAGAGTGGATGAAGTAAGCACACTCCACCTTGGCCCCTGGAGTCTGCTTCCTCCTGGGGGTGCTGGGCAGCCAGTAGCGATTCTGTTCTGCTGGCGAGAATCAGGAGCTATTTCCAGAAAAAGAAGCCTTGGCCTCCCTGAGAAGGGAAGTCAGGGACAATAGAGGTTAGGAGCATGTGCTCAAATAGCATCTGCGCCAGTTAGTCTGAGCTAGTGACCTTGAGCAGTCGGCGCCCCCAGTCCCCACTCTGCTCCTCTGGGAGACGGGGTGACACCTGCCTCCAAGAGAAGCAGTTATTTTTGCTGCTTAATTAACTTTAAAAATCTGAAAGCTAGATAACAGATGTTCCCTTTCTGTTAAGGCTAATTAGTTATTTGATTTCCTTAAGTTCCTCTTAGTAATTTTGGGTCAAATTCAATTAGATGTCCTTATTTCCAATAGTAAAATGAAGCTTAGGAGCAACAAATTCCTTTATGAATTTAAAGAAAATAGGTTTTTCCCCCATTTTGCGGCACCAACCTTATTACCCAGGGTTAGAACCACTGGGCTAGCAAGAGGTCCTGGAGTGTGCAGGTGGGAGCTGCTGCTCTGTGCCAGCACCTATAGACCTTGTGCTGGTCTTGAAGCCATTAGGCCTCGGGACCAAACTGTGGTGTGATTTTACTGTGGCATCTGAGTGTTTTGTTTTTGGTTTTCTTCAGCAAAGTGAAGGTCCTTTTCAAATTCACCAAAGTGGACAGTCGACCCAAAGAGGACACACAGAAGCTTCTGAGTATCCTTGGAGCATCTGAGGAGGACAATGTCAAACTCCTCAAGTTCTGGATGACAGGCCTGAGCAAAACCTACAAGTCACACCTCATGTCCACAGTCCGCAGCCCCACAGCTTCAGAGCCTCGTAACTGACCCTGCCACAGGAATCTGACCCCATGTTTGCCTTCTGAGGAGTGTGGTGATTGCCATATTCGCCACTGAGCTCAGTCTCTGATGGCAGTCATAGATTGCTTGTGTTTCTGGATTGCCAGCATGGAGCTGTGTCCTAGCAAGGAATGGAAACTTGGGGCTGAACTTTGCCCTCTCTGTGGGATCCCGACTTGGTGTAGTTTTCGGCACCATTCCAAAAGCTGTTTGAATTGCTCTGGCCCTGAATGAGGGCAGTGGGAGACTTGGGACAGTGGGTTCCCTGTGTTTGTGTACCCCTGTGAGAGAAGACTAAGGAGAACATGCATCTTAAGCCTCTCAAGGATTTAGATCTCAAAATTCATAAGGAAGGTATGTCAGGCCAGTCCCAACTTGGGTATTTTGGCCTCAGTAACAAATCTCTCAAGGTTAATGTTTGAACCTTTCCATTCTGAAATTCAAGACTTTTCCAAGTTTTATATATGATTGCGTGTATGTTTTGCTACAGTTTTGAGTTTTTAGGACCTGTGTGATCCATAGTCATTGTTAGTAATCTGGTTTTGAGCTCTGGAAATGGCTTTGGGCATGGGACGGATGTTTTCTCATCTTTAAGCCCTCTGGGATTCATGTTCTGGAACCATGTGACTACAAAGTCTTCTAGCCATACTCTCCTGTGGTTGCTTTGAGATTTCCCTAAAGCTCGAGGACAGGCCCCTGACCGTTTTTTACACAAAGATGATACTTTGCTGAAATGTCAGATGGAACCATTTGACTTGCCTAACCTACCAGATGTGGCATTGAGAAACCTACCATAGTTTCATTCCATATTACTTTGCCCTTTATTTCTTATTTCTTCTTAGACATTTAGATTTGGCTACAGGTAACAATTTTCAGAGTATGGTGATTTAAGATAGTTTCATCATCCTGGTGTACACTTTTAATAAGGATTCATGGCTTGGATTTTCCAGCAATTTTGCTGATTTTGTTTATAGTTTTTTGTGTTTGCTTAATTTATATTTAACATGGAGACTAAGTTTGTATGAGTAGGTATCTATCATGCAAGAACTTGAAACATAATAAAGATATATTTTTATAAACTGTTGGCTACATGGTTTTGTTGGTTTGATACCTAGATTTTTCATGGGATCAGTCACACAGAATATTATGGCTGAAACACCTGTGGTAGAACTATTTTGAAACTCCAGCCTGTTAAAGGCTTGCAGATTCTAGGAGAAGACCTGGACTGTACATTGTGGTTAATTTCGATCAATTTCAGCTCAGAGCACAGTAGCACTACCCATCCCCCTGTGGGGGGCCACACAGCAGGTATGCAGGTGTTCTGGAATAGGCTACACATACCATATAGGAGCTGTGGTGGGTAAAAAGGACCCTAGACTACAACTGTTAGGGAATCCGAGCTCTGATCACTGGTTGCTGCTTCTGATCAGAGTGGTGCAGAGCCAGGCAGCCATTGTTGCACCTTCCCTCACTGTTGCAAGCCCCTCCCCCTCTGGCTGTGAGGAGACTTCATGGTTCAATGCATATACAGAGGAAATTAGAAGCTGTGCATGTCCAAGGAAGGGCTTAGAAAATACCTGAGAAAAATGTAAGTTTATACCTCAGCCTGATCCTTGGCAAAGAAAAAGCCAACAATAAGACCATGGAGAATCTTGGGGAAGGGGGAGTATCTAATTTTCAGTTATCACGTTACTAGATTTAAATGTCCAGCATTCAACAAATACCAGGAGGCATACAAAGAAACAGGGAAGTTATGTTCCATTCAAAGGGGAGAAAACAATCTGCCCCTGAAAAGGACTTAATGGCAGATATACTACACATTTTATTTTTATTTTTTTTAAAGATTTTATTTATTCATGTGAGACACCGAAAGAGAGAGGCAGAGACATAGGCAGAGGAATAGAAGGCTTCATGCAGGAGCCTGATGTGGGACTCCATCCTGGAACTCCAGGATCACGCCCTGAGCCGAAGGCAGATGCTCAGCCACTGAGCCACCCGGGTGTCCCTAAACAAAGACTTTAAAACAACTGTCTTAAAATCACAATTACAGGGAGATGTGAAGAAAGCCAAGAAAATGTGTGAGCAAAATGAAAATATAAAGAAGACCTAAAAAAGTTTCAGAGTTGAAAACTACAACTAAAAAAAGAAAAAAAACTACAACTGAAATGAATTTATAAGAGGCCAATTTGAGCAGGCAGAAAGAATTTGTGGACTTGAAGATAAACAGTGGACATCATCGAGGCTAAGGAACAGAGAATTTGAAGAGCAGTGGACAGAACTCTTAAGAGAACTATGGGACACCAACAAAAGGATCAACATGCACATCATGTGAGTCCCGGGAAAGGAAGGGCCTGAGAACACTGAAAGAAAGAATGGCTGAAAACTAACCAAATTTAATGAAAGACAGGAACATAAATACACAAGCTCAAAAATTCCCAAGTAAGATGAACTCAACCACCCTGAAACCCATTCTAATCAAACTTCCAAAAGACGAAGAGCAAACCTTGAAAGCAACAAAAGTGAGACAAATCAGAGATCTTCACTAAGAGTACAGATTTCTCATCAGAAATGTCAGAGGCAGGGATCCCTGGGTGGCGCAGCGGTTTGGCGCCTGCCTTTGGCCCAGGGCGCGATCCTGGAGACCCGGGATCGAATCCCACGTCGGGCTTCCCGTGCGTGGAGCCTGCTTCTCCCTCTGCCTGTGTCTCTGCCTCTCTCTCTCTCTCTCTCTCTCTCTCTCTCTCTCTCTCTCTCTGTGACTATCATAAATAAATAAAAAAAAAAATAAAAAAAAAAAAAGAAATGTCAGAGGCTAGGGATGCTTGTGTGGCTCAGTGGTTGAGCACCTGCCTTTGGCTCAGGGCATGATCCCAGTCCTGGGATCGAGTCCTGCATTGGGCTCCCCACAGGGAGCCTGCTTCTCCCTCTGTCTCTGCCTCTCTCTCTCTCTCTCTCTGAGGAATAAATAAAATCTTAAAAAAAAAAAAGAGACTAGAAGACAGTATGCCATATATACTTAAAGCGCTAAAGCAAAAATAAAATAAAAATCCAAGAAATAAACCCTGTCAACCAAGAGCCCTGTATCCAGCAAAACTGTTCAAAAGTTGGGGAGAAATCAAGACATTCCCAGATAAAAGGGGGGGGCAGTTTGTGACCACTAGACTTTATCTGCACAAAGTGCTAATGGGAGTCCTGCAAGGTAGGTGAAATGACACCATCAGCACCTCAAAGCCCTGTGGAGAAATAAAGATCTCAATAAACATAGATCCTGGGCATTCGGCTCAACAATAGTGGCCCATATCCTTTTCTCAAGTGCACTTGGATCATTTGCCATGATAGGCCATATGTGAGGCCACAAATTAAATCTCAGTAGATTTTTAATCTCAGATTTTTTTTGAAGATTTTTTTTTTTTTTAGATCTCAGTAGATTTTAAAAGATACAAAGTATCTTCTCTGACCACAATGGGATAAAGTTAGCATAAAACTGGAAAATACACAAAATTGTAGAAGTTAACCAACATGCTTTTAATTTTTTAAAGATTGATTTATTTTAGAGAGCACTTGAGTGGGGGAAGGGACAGAGAGAATCCTCAAGCAGACTCCCACTAAGCATGGAGCCTGATGTGGGGTTCGATCTCATATCCCATGAGAACATGACCTGAGCTGAAGCCAAGAATCAGGCATTCAACTGAATGAGCCACTCAGGCACCCTGCTTTCTTTCTTTTTTTTTTTTTAAGATTTTATTTTTATTTATTTATGATAGAGAGGCAGAGACACAGGCAGAGGGAGAAGCAGGCTCCATGCCAGAAGCCCGACGTGGGACTCGATCCCGGGACTCCAGGATCGCACCCTGGGCCAAAGGCAGGCGCGAAACTGCTGAACCACCCAGGGATCCCAAGGCACCCTGCTTTCAATTAAAAAAATTTTTTTTAAGTAGGCTTCACATCCAGTGTGGAGCTCAACATGGGGCTTGAATTTATGACCCTGAAATCAAGATCTGAACTGAGAAGAGTCAGACACGTAACTGACTGAGCCACTCACTCAGGTGCCCTTAAATAACAGTGGATCAAAGGAGGACTCACAAGGGAAATCAGAAAATACTTAGAGGTGAATGAAAACCAAGACACAATATACCAAAACATGGGATACAGCAAAAGGCAGTATTCAGGAAATTTGTAGATATAAATGCTTATATTTAAAAACAACTCAAAAACAAAGATCTCAGATCAAAAATTTAACTTTGCAACGTAAGGAACTGAAAAAGTACAAGTTAAACCCAAAGCTGGCAGAAGGAAAGAAAGAATATAGATAAAAGCAGATTTAAAACATTAATGTTTTGGGATGCCTGGGTGGTTCAGGAGGTTGAGCATCTGCCTTTGGCTCAGGGTGTGATCCTGGGGTCCTGGGATCAAGTCCTGCATCAGGCTCCCTGTGAGGAGCCTGCTTCTCTCCCTGCCTGTGTCTCTGCCTCTCTCTGTGTCTCTAATGAATAAATAAAATCCTTTTAAAAATAAAAATAAAAAATAATATATTAATGTTTTATGTTGACAAACCTACTTATTTGAGTAAGTTTTCAATTACAATATTCCCCCCCATGAGAATGTTATTTTTTTCTTCCCCACTTTTTTTTAAATTTTATTTATTTATGAGAGACACACACAGAGAGAGAGACAGAGACACAGGCAGAGGGAGAAGCAGGCTCCATGCAGGGAGCCCGATGTGGGACTCGATCCCGGGACTCCAGGATCACACCCTGGGCTGAAGGCAGGCGTCAAACCACTGAGCCACCCAGAGATCCCCCCTTACCCACTTTTCAGTTGAAATAGCAATATGTGTAAAATGCAATTGATGTTCTTACTTTCAATCTAACAAGGTTTTGCAGTATGTGGAATACATAGTAAGCATAGTTCTTTCAAAACATCCTTTTGAACTTTTTAGTAGGGAATGATTTGTGGGCCAGCTGAGGGTTTGGTGACTTGAGTGACATGAGTAGTCGCTTATTCTCTCTTCTGTCCTTTTTCATGTGGGCCACTGTCTACTTCCTCTTTATTTTCCTTTCTTTTTTCTTGTTGATTTAATTCCTTCATTAATATTTTTGAGTGCCTAAGATATACTACATATTATTCTGGGGGGGGGGCTAGATATACAGCTCCCTGCTCTTTTGAAATTTACCATCTTGTGAGAAAGTTGAACAATAAACTTAGACAAGTGAGACTATTTACTATGACTAAAATGAGAGAGACTAGTGAGAGATAAAAGTGCAATGTTGATTTGGAGAGTGCAGGAAGGCCCCTCACTTCACAGGGAAGCTGAGAGCTGAACAAGAGAGATCAAGCTGTTCCTTCCTTTTTGTGTCTTTCCTTTTTCCTTCACTGTATCCCATGGATTTAAAAAAAGCTGAGGTAAATGAAATATGGCATAGAAAGACAATAGAGAAAATCAATGAAACCAAAAATTATTTCTTTAAAAAGATTAACAAAATTGTCCAACATTTAGCTAGACGGACTAAAAAGAAGAGAGAAGATTCAAATTACTAAAATCAGAAATGAAAGTGACATTACTCCCTGGTCTACAGAAATAAAAAGGATTATAAGAGAGTACTATGAACAACTGTGTGCCAACAAATTGGATAACCTAGATGAAATGGACAAATTCCTAGAAACACAAGGCTACTAAGACAAAATAATGAAGAATAGAAAATCTGAATGGACCTATGAGGAGATTGAATGGGTAATAATAAAAAAAAAATCTCCTAAGAAAGAAAACTCCTGGAGATGATGGCTTTACTGGTGACTTCTACAGAACATTGAAAGAACTAATACCATATCTTTTCAAACTTTCCAAAAGCTTGAAGAGGAAAGAATACTTCCTAACACATTCTATGAGCCATCAAAACCCTGACACCAAAGCCAGAAAAGACTACAAGAAAACTACAGACCAATATCCCTTACACACATTGATGCAAAAATCCCCAACAAAGTACAAATAGCATATTAAAAGGACTATACATCATGGCCAAATGGGATTTATTCTGGGATACAAGGATGGTTCAACATAAGACAATTAGTGTAATATGCT